CGCCCTAGATGAAATAGGTGGGTCAGAGTCTGGCCAGGTGAGAGGAGGCACCTCAGTCCTTGGATCTGACTCTGCCCCCTAGAAACCTTCCTCAGTCATGCCCCAAAGCAAGGAGACACAGGTAGGAGGAGACGGACAACTGGAGTCTGGAGCCCTAGGGGAGGGGTGGTTAACCCCGTGTGTGCATGTGTGCACACATACATATGTGTAACTTGGCTTTCAGAGATAGGTCAGAGGGTAAGGGCAGTGAAGGGACTAGGGGAAGGACATAGGAACCTGAGGCTTTGGCTACTGACTCAGTCCCTCTGGAATAACCCCTCTTCTCTCAGCTGAGGGAGAGCAGTTCTCCTCCTGTCCCCTGCATAAGCCTCTTCAACTCCTGAGATCGGAACAGTATCTGAGAATGGGAAAGGAGGAAGGGTGATGCCAGTGATCAGGTGTGGGAGGTTACTAAGGCAATCCAATTTGAATAAATTATAAATTAAAAATAAATAAAATAAGTGGTCCTCGTTCAGGACACGGAGGCAGCAATGGCATGACTTGCCTGGGAACTTGGGACAACCTCAGGGTGGCTCCGGTTCCTCCCTACTTCCTGAGCTTGTCTGGGAGACCCAAGGAAGGGGACAGATGCATGGAGTACCTGAAGTAGGGCAGGGTGTAGTAAGGATCAGGAGCTTTAAACACACAAATAATCAATCTGGGCATGAGCATGGTGAGGGCTTTGACTCAAGCCTGAGGGGTCCCTTGCCATCTCTCTATAGATGTTCTCTAAGAGATGTGCAAGATGGCAGGTCATTGGCCCACATTGGTTCAGAGTGCTGGCAATCAGGGCAAAGGCGAATAACGTGGATTAGGAGGGGCCTCAGTCACAGCCTGCAGTTCAAAGGGGAGCCCTGTGTCCAGCTCCAAGCTCTAATGGGAAAAAAGCAGATGGAGATCTCCATTCAGGCTTAATAGGCCTGAGTGGGAGCTCTGGAACCTGACGTGCAGAGAATGGCAGGGTAGGTGGTGGGTAGGGTTAGCATTTTCCTCCTCACCCAAGGGCACCAAAAAGAGGAGATTGTACAGGAAGGGCATGTGGGCAGCAGCCATGCCCAAGAAGTCAAAGATTACCAGGTACATCTTCACCACAGTCTGGTTGGGGTTAAATAAAGTCACTTGGATGGTGCCCACTTTGGACACACTGTGACTCTTCCTTCCCAGAGGGTTCAGATCCACAATGCCCAGTGGGGGTGGGGGCATTTTGCTCAGAAACCTCAAAGAAGGTGACAGTGACAGGTAGTGTGACATGCTGGGGGCAGTGGGACCCACTAGCTCCAGTCTCTGCTGTGAAGCCCTCAATGTGGCCAGATGGTGCAAAGCATCCTTGCAGCAACAAATCCTCAAAGTTGCCCAGCAGGGTACAACTGATAGCAGGGGTAGGAACGGGGAGGCATTGTGGGGACCCAGAAGGCCTGGCCCCTTCCAGAGGCTTTGAAGTTGGCCCAGCTTTAGGTGACAGGCACCTCTCAGCCTCCACCCCATGGGAATGCAGTCTGTTGCGTCCAAAACTGGGCTTCTTGGGCCTAGGCAGCAGGTGGCTCCAGAAGGTGTGGTTTGGGCATCAGAACAGTTGGTAGCAGTAGGGTGGCCCAGGGTTCCCTGGCACTTCCAAAGGGTTGGCCCCTCTTCCTCAGAGCTGACATTTGGGGCTTCTCCAGCAGGAAACAGCCTTCTTCTGGTGGGGCAGTGTCCTGGAGATACAGGGCTGGGGGTGTGTGCTTGGGAGTGACCACTGGCAGTGCTTGGGGAGGCACCCTATCGCCCACCCTAGCCACTGGGCTCTTACTCCTTATTTGTGAAAGACTGTGCAAATCAGTGTCAAGTGTGTGCAGCTGGTCCAGGGGGCTGGCTCTGGGGACTGCCCCAGGGACCCCTGTCCCCCTGGATCTGGGAAAGCCTGGTCTCTGTTGTGCAAAGTATTGCAGGAAGCATATGATGGGGGCCAGGAGGGACTCCAGGCCTCTGGAGTGCAGGAAGAGGTGGCACTACCTCCCTGTTCCACAAGACAGGCCACAATGGGAGAAATGCTGGCTGGCCACACCCAGTCCCAGCCCCAGTCCCTTTGGGCCCAATAGCCTCACAGGAGATGGTTCTTCAGGGGGTAGTCCCTCTCTGGCCCCCAGCCCAGGGCCTCTCTCTAGCTCCTGGGGACCCTCGGTGGGTGGGGCTGGTCGCGTCTGGGCCCTGTGAGGCTCAGAGGCACCAGCTAGAGGGGCAAAGATGGATACTGGTAGACCCTGGGGGATGCCACTACCCCACCAGTACTACTGGGCTATAGCCCTTGAGCGGGCCACCTCAGAGGGTCCCCTATCTGACTGGAGGCTGTGAAGGGCCAGCCTCTGGCTCAGAGGATGGAGACAGCTCTCTCTGTACATGGCACATGAAGCCCCACATTGGGTCAGGGGCATCATGCCCACACAGCTTTTACGCTGGGCCTGTGTTGGGGCGTCTGGAGATGTCCAGATGAAAAGGCCTCAAACCTAGCTGTGCATCCCCTCTTCCTGACTGATGCCTTGTTCCCCTAGCTTGCAGTCTGATTCATGCCCACTGCACTGGCAAGGTGACTGCCCGCATTCTGTGCAGCTGCTGGGCTCAGCAGGACCCTGTAGTTCTGTAGGTCCTGTTGCACTTGAGGATGTGGTAGTAGAGGCAGAGTTTTAAAACCACAGCAAACACCAAAGGTCTTGCATTCATCTCTCCCAGGGCAGTGAAGCCTGCTCAGTCTAGACTTACATGAGAGGCTGCTCAATGACTCTCACAGAAAGATCTTCCCAAGGTGACATTTTCTCCTCCTAAGCCAATAAGGTCATCTCACTCACAGTCCGCTTCCAGGAAGTAACCCCAAAATGGACAGAATCTACAGATATCATGACAAAGCTGCTAACTTCTCTTGCTAAAGACGAGAATAAGACTCTTGAAATTGCCCCATATGGTGGTGCAACTTTTTTGCATACTACGACGGAGAAGTATGAACAGAGTTTTACCTGTGCGTTACAGGTTTGTCTACATGAAAACTGCACTCCTTGTTCATTTCTAATAGGGAAAACATTTCTGATGGTATATGATTCCTAAATGAAATGATGCTAACAAATGTTCACATATTTTGTGAGGGAGAACACAGCAAATTGTAAGATATGATCTGCAGATATCAAATTCCTTTTCTTTACTGGAAAACAGGTCTGACTGACTGGCATGATTACGTTGGGGAAAATGCAGCTATAGTTCTCTTAATTTGGAACACAAACGTATATCACAAAGCTAACCAGATCACACTCATTCGTCAGCAAACACAAATCAGCCGTGGTTAGCAAATGTGTGTACAAAATACATTGACATCAACATCAATCAGGTCCTTTCTTATGATCAAATCCAGGGAAATAGAAACCTGACATCTAGAACCTAACCACTTGCAAAAGAGCATTTATGTTACCGGCAATTTAAAGGAAATAAATGTTTACTGAGGAGTAGCCTATGCTGAACTCTCATTTTTACATGTATTAAACTACACATATGTTGGCTCATCATTTTAAAACTATATTGGCTTACGCCTGTAATCCTAGCACTTTGGGAGGCCTCGGCAGGTGGATCGCCTGATGTCAGGAGTTTGAGACCATCCTGGCCAACATGGTGAAATCTCGTCTCTACTAAAAATACAAAAATTAGCTGGGTGTGTGGCACGCTTCTGTAATCTCAGATACCCGGGAGGTGGAGGTTGTAGTGAGCCAAGATCGTGCCACTGCACTCCAGCCTGGGTGACAGAGTGAGCCTCCGACTCAAAAGCAAAAACAAAAACCTATATTATAATTTATTAAATGTGATTAGGTAGCTCTGAATCCTTGGTGTGTTATTTTTTTAAGGTGTAATAAGACCAGTATTAAAAAAAAAAAAACCCGTAAAATGTATACTTTTTAAGAAATAACAGCAGTCACTCTTTTATTCCAACATGCTATCTTTATTAAAATATTTTAAACATTGATTGCAAAAATAATAAATGCTTTTATTTTTAAAATGCAAACAATACTTAAGTATAAAAGTAAAAACTGAACATTCCATATAACCCTGGTCCATCCCATTTCCTGCAGAAAACCACTATTAACAGTTTTAGGCTTATACTTCTAGATGCAGTTTTATTTCCTGAAACTTTGTCTTTTACTAAATACCATATCTTAGAGATGTTTTGATATCAGTACATACAGAGATACCTTATTGTTTCATAGTATTTCATAGAACAGATATACCATAACTTCCTTCCTACTGGTAAACATTTAGATTATTCTCAATGTCTGACACATAAAAACAAAACTGCAGCCGTTATTCTTTGCGTGCACATCCCTGCATAATATAAGAACATTTTTGAAGATTTCTAGAAATTGAATTAATGTGTCAAAGGATCTACATAGTTTATATTTTAATACACTGTGTTCATCAAAACATTTTTTTTCTGAGTTTCTCGTTAGATTAGATAAGCTGTGTTTTGTTTTGTTTGTCTTAGCTCTTGTTTAACCTCTAGAAAACTAGTGACATGCTCTTGGAGAAGCCCCTCTACACAAGGCCAAAGAAGCTGAGAAAGCACAGAGGAAATAATCAAGGCTCACCTGGGAAAGCAACACAGCTTCACCATCATTCTCTTGCGAAAATTTATCAAAACAAACAAGTTTATCAAGTGCTGGGTGTTCAAAACCACACAAATATATATATATATATATGTATATATATATATATATGTATTTAATTAAAACCTTAAGTAGTCTTAAATGATGCAGCAAAATATGTCCATTCACATGTGGATACTTATCTTCTTAGATATGAAATGATTTTATATGGCAATATTTTTAAATTCTAAATTCTTATAAATTTTACATATTCCATTACTTAAACTTTCATATTTCTCACAAAGACATTCCTCAGGAGTACAATGTTTTAGAACAAAAAATACAGTCAATCTTTACAGAGGGAGGGCAAAGGGTGTAGTTTCCTGTCTACACCTCTGTAGACAGCAGTGAATACATATAAGAGACAAATAACAAGGCAAGGCCCTTTTACCTTTCAGTAGTCCACAAAATGAAGACTGAATTTGAATTTTGATAGACGTGGCTTTCAGAGACGTCTGACAGAAGCCATGCATGAATTCCTTTTTTTCTCGTTTATAGCTCCCTTCTTATGTAAAAAAAAAAAAAAAAAAAAAAAAAATTCCTGAGATGGCTTAGTGATATAAACTATGGAGACAGGTGTGGGTGGTTCTTTTAAGTGCACAATAACCAATAGATCTCTCTCCTGAAAGAATTCTGAGATGCTAAATAAGATATTTCCTGTGGCCAAAAGATTTTCTTCACTAGTTTTTGTCAAAATGTCTTTTCCCAGCTTAAGTTCTCTGACTTTGACTGATGCGGGCCTTCGCACATACCTCATAGAGTTTATCTCTGGAATGAATTCTTCAATGCCAACTAAGGATGAGCGGCAGGTCACAGCTTTTCTACTGTCATTGAATTCAGAGTGCTTCTCTTCGGTGTGGCTCCTTAGGTGTCAAAGGAAAAAAAAAAAAAAAAACCACAAAAAGGCATTCCTACATCATTTGCACTCAAAGGTTTTTTCCTCCAGAGTGGATCTTACTATGTCGGACAAAAGCAGAGTGGTAGCCAAAGGCCTTTCTACATTCAAGGCACTCATAGGGTTTCTCTCCAGTGTGACTCCTTGTGTGCAGAGTGAGGGAATAGCTGTAGTAAAAACCTTTCCCACATTCTTTACACTCATAGGGCTTTCCTGCAGTGTGTGTCATGCTATGCCGGAAGAAAACAGAGTGGTGGGTGAAGGTCTTCCCGCATTCACTGCACTTATAGGGTATGAATCTTCATGTGCCGGGTTAAGGAAGAGTTGTAGTAAAAGGTTTTCCCACACTCTTTGCACCCAAAGGGTTTTTCTCCAGTGTGGGTCATACGATGCTGGATGAAGACAGAGTGACAGTTGAAGGTCTTTCCACATTCACTGCACTCATAGGGCTTCTCTCCAGTGTGAATCCGGTGGTGGCACAGGAGGCGCGACCTGCGGTTAAAGACTTTTCCACACTCCGTGCACTTATAGGGCTTCTCGCCTGTGTGAATCCTCATGTGTCGAATGAAGTTGACCTTTTCACGAAAGGCTTTTCCACACTCCTGGCATTCATAGGGCTTCACTCCAGGGTGAATCTGCTGATGTCGAACAAGGAGTCCGTTCTTGTTAAACACTTTCCCACATTCCTTGCATTTGTAAGTCTTCCCTTCACCAACCAAAGTGTCTTTACTTGGTCCCCGGGAGTCACATTCATGGAGACTGTCTCCTGTGGAGACCTGATGCTGTAAAACGCATGAGTGCGGAACATCCCCTGTCCCCAGCCCATTGCCTTTAGGGCTCATCTTCCTCCAGAAGGTCTCCGTAGGGGAGACGGTAACCAGACTCAAGCACCCTTCCTGCATTTCCATCCACGTTTTCCCTCACTCACCTCAACCTGGAGGAACTTCTGGCTCTCTGGGTTAGTCTTTCCAGGAGCAAGCCTCCCTAGGACAAGGCTGGCTGGCCCTGGCTTTTACTCTGTCACCTGGACGGCTGCTTTGACAAAGGTCTCTTCCGCTCTTTTACCACTGCTTCAGCTGGTAGATCAGCTCTGGTTTGTATGCCCCAGTGAGAGGGGTCTGCAGGTCTCTGGTGTCACCTCCCAGCACAGGGTCCTCTGGGGCTGGTCCAGCTGCTTCCACTTCTTCCAGGTGAAGATCATGCACACGCCCTGCACCACTGCCTCGGATGCCGCCACAATGGAGCAAGACAAAAGGTCCACGTGGCACCTGCATCAGCATGCGCAGCGGAGTGCTTCCGACTACAGATACCAGAGAGCCGCGCGCAGCCTCCACCAGCTAAACTACAAATCCCAGAGACCTCAGTTTCATTTTTAATTCCTGGGAATTTGACCCTCAATTAATTCTAAATGGAAGTTGATGCCAGTTGTGTCAGGGAGGACCTGTGACCTTCCACACAAACATGCACATGAGAACATGCATGTAAGGAACTTGTTCATGCAGGGTGTGGAGAGTGTGTCCTACTTATCACTTAATTTTACCCGCTGACCCGATGATAAACTGTACCCTGGGGCTGGGCATTAAAGTTAATCCAGTCAAAATACTCAATGTAGAGAAGACATGGAAATTCAGGATCTCTTTTATATTGTGGATGGTTCTGCAATTAGTATCACTTTGGAAAAGTTTGGTCCTATCTCCTAAAGGTCTTTCCAAAGCAAAGCTTTCTCACGTGTACCAGGAAATGTGTTCCAGAATGGTCGCATTAGCAAACACCTGGAGAGAGTTCAGGAAAGAGGATGGCCTCTACACAGAACACAACACTGTTCAGCTGCCCAGAACCGCTGCCGTCCAATACTGCTCCCAGGGGAGCCAGGGAAGCATCACAGTTTATGCTGCAGAATCCTCAAAAATGAAGGGTTCAACCGTACCAAATCGCTCTGGAGCTGGTGAGGTGTGGAAGCTGTTATATGGGAATTGGTGACAGTGGTTTGAGCTTTGAGCAAGACCCTGATCTACTGCCCTACTGTTCTCAAAATGCAACTGGTTATTAAATTGAAGAAAGGATCGCAGAACTAGGGAATGAGAGGCAAATTGGAAGGTTCTGGCGAGTACTGAAGAGGAGAACTGATAGTCACTGACACATGGACCCCTCACTCCACCCCTAGCAGCTGTTTGAAATGTTCCTTTCCCAGAATCTAATCAGCTCAAGAGGAGAGACCCAAACACACCGATTTTGCAATTCTTCCAGTGAGAGGCCCTGGCAGTTTGACTTTTAGCAAATACTTACTTTGTTTTCTTTTTCTTTCTTCTGTGTTGGCCAGAACCTCTGTCTATTATGCTGAAAAGAAGAGGAGCTCTCAAATGCCATTTTCATTTTCCTGATTAAAAAAAATTCTTCTAATGTTTCTTAACTAAGAATGTGTGTAGTGTGAAATTTTGCTGGTATCACCAGCTTGATTACTTTCATATGGTGTAAATATTGAGGCCAGAGAAACAAAAGAGCAGGCAGACATGCTAACTGGAAAATCCAACAGAGTTTTCTCACCCGAAGTATTTGAAACATGTCAGTAAGGCCATAATATAAGGCAGAAGCCTCGGCCATGTTGTCCAGACAGCAAGACTCTTCCCACAGATGGGAAGCAGTAGTGGATGGCAATGACTTAGGCAGCTATGCATGAGCTCATTTGAATAGGTTCTGAACTATCTTGCCCAGGACAGTGCCCCCATCAATCTCAGGACACTGCACATTTGACAGTGAAGTTCTGTCCAGCAGTGGTTCTCAAAGTGTCATCGCTGGTCTCAGTTGTGTTCATTTTTAAGAGTTAAAGAGCTGGGCGCAGTGGCTCGCGCCTGTAATTCCAGCACTTTGGGAGGCCGAGGTAGGTGGATCACAAGGTCAGGAGACCAGCCTAACCAACATGGTGAAACCCCTCTCTACTAAAAATACAAAAATTAGCTGAGCGTGATGGGGCACACCTGTAATCCCAACTATTCAGGAGGCTAAGGCATAAGAATTGCTTGAACCGGCGAGGCAGAGGTTGCAGTGAGCCAAGATGGTGCCACTGCACATCAGCCTAAGCAACAGAATAAGACTCTGTCTTGGGAAAAAGAGAGCTAAAGAAAGGCTGATCACTAAATACATGCAATCTAACCATGATTACGTGGGCAGTTACAAAATTAGTGAGTTTTGTTTATTGGAAATGTTTATTTTTTTCTTTAATGACTTTTTCTGTCAGCATATAGTTTTAATGATATAAAACAGCTCCTAAAATGATAAAAAGTTCCTGTTATTTGAGCTGTCAGTAGCAAAGCTTGTAAGTAATGTGAATATCTGAGCAAAAAGTTGGTACAAATTAGGTCATATCAATAACAATGCCCAGAGTCTGCTCTCTGGAAATTTTCAGGGGTCTTCTCACAAGGGCTCCTCTGGATGACTTAACCAATGTGACTATAGACTGTCATCTGCAATTTTTTGTCCTTGGACACACCCATGGGTCTCCTCTTATTACTATAATCTCGGCATGAACATAAACTCTTTACTATTAGACCAAAGTGTGGCTTTAACAAGACTTTTCTTAAGACTAGGGGGTCACAGAGGGTCTTTCACATATATAATAACAACTGGATACTAGATAGGGCTGTTCGTAGAGTCCTCAGTTCCCAGTCCATTCTCCTGGCCTCCATACGGCTGCCTTCTGCTCAGAATCCATTCTCCCTACCACCATTTTAGGAAGATGCCAGGTTTTCTCTACCATTCAGGAACACCTCACACGTGCCTCAATTCCACAGTGCCTAGGCCCAAGTCGAAGTCCAGACAGAGGAACTAACTCCAATCCAGACCTGTATTCCCCATTTTCTGTTTCCATCTTTTACAAAGATGCCTAATCAGTGTATTATCTTCTTCCTTCAGTGGAGAATCCACGGCCGTTCACACAGTTGTGGCCTTACCCTATGACTCCAATAGTATATCCCTTTAGAACATAATGTCACGTTTCTACAAGATATATGTACTTACTTTTTTGGGTTGAATTGAGCCCCCCAGAAAGATGAAGTCCTAACCTCCAGTGCATGAGCTTGTGACCTTATTTGGAAATAGAATCTTTGCAGATGATCAAGTTAAAATGAAGTCATTAGGATAGGCCCAACTAAAATGTCTTTGCCTCTAAAAACACAGATTCTCTTTATTTTATTTTATTTTTTGATATGGAGTCTCACTCTGTTGCCCAGGCTGGAGTGCAGTGGTGTGATCTTGGCTCACTGCAACCTCCACCTCTTAGGTTCAAGTGATTTTCCTGTCTCAGCCTCCAGAATAGCTGGGACTACATGTGCACACCACCATGCCCAGCTAATTTTTGTATTTTTAGTAGAGACGTGGTTTCACCATGTTGGTCAGGAAGGTTAACCACTGACCTCAGGTGATCCACCTGCCTTGGCCTCCCAAAGTGCTGGGATTACAGGCGTGAACCACAGTGCCTAGCTGTGATTCTTTATTTTAGAAATACATTCTCCCTTGTATCTTCCTAGTCCTTTATCTTTTATCTCATGCCATCATTTTTCACTTTCTTCCTGGTGATACAGCTAATTATTTGTGCAGCCTGACTCTCTCACCAAACTATAAGTTCTCAAGAGCAGAATTTCCATTGAATTCATCTTTATATCTCTCAGAGTAAGAAACAGTGTGCCTTGCATGTGGCCAATAAGCAAATCCATGTTCTGCCTGATTTGATTCCTTCTATAACCCTCAGAAAAAAGTGTTTTATACCCTTCAACCAACGAAGAGAAGTGTGACCAAAGATGAGAATGACCTGTCCACATAGAATTCTTTCACCATTGCTTATTGCTTCAAACAGTATTAAGCCCCAGAAACAACAACCAAAACACAAAACCAAGCAAAGCTCATTTATTAATTATCTCTTTTGTGAATCAACTCTTTCTTTGTGTGAGACAGTTCTGTTTCTGCCTGCTAAGGGAGCTGTCCACTTCAAATGCAAAAGCAAATTGTTACTGCAGTCACAGTTTTAGGACCAGCTTCTCTTCCTTTTCTGCTTGTGTCAGGTGCCCTAGGGTCCTGGAGCCATTGCAGATAAGCTCAACAGCTGCCTCTTGGGTCTCCAGGTGGATTCTCAAGTTCTCTCCCCATGGTGGTTGCTGTGGGGGAAGAATGAGTTTCTATTTTACTCAGAAAATACTCTTTATGACTGGAGGTTTCCCAAGTACTTCTGATCTGTTCTACTTGTCTACGATTTGCTGACAAGTTGCTGACTTTTCAATTATATATGTGTATAAACATACATATTCATTAGCATGTTTTCCGTTACCAGACTAATAGCAAATCATTCAGATGTTGCTGTGAAATGTCACCATTTCATGCTGTAATATTTCACTAAAAAGATTCAGAAATAGGAAACAGAGAGAAATATTTATTGTTTCTTGGTCTAGAAGGGTTGGTAAATTCAAAGTAGTGAAACTTAGGCTTATGATGGGACTTACTTGTTGAATAACCTTTGGAAAATCACTTCACCATTGAGTTTCTTCACCGGGAAAATGAGGGCTAAGACCAGATTTTCCACATCTAGGAATTTTCTTCTTGCCACATTTATTAAAGGCATAATAATTTAGGTCTCAATTAGCATGCAGTAAAACTATAGGAGAGAGGCTGTGCAGGTCTAGGTAGGATAAATTAATCTCAGGGTACACGAGTAGTAGTAAAGAGAACATGTTGTGAGAAGCAGAATTTGTGAATTCAAAGAACCATTACATTTATAACTTCCATCTGAGATTTAAAGGGCAAATTTCAGATGAACCACCATGTTCCATTTTAATTCAGTATATCTTAGGATTCCCCGCCTCAAAACTCTTAGGTCCTTTGCTAAAAAGTCAGGTTCAGTCTTAGCAGTCTTTGATTATCTGGATATGGATGATCATGCTCTCTTTAAGAGCTCATTAACTAACTCCTCTCATTTCCATCCTTCCCAATAAGCCACTCCAGCCATAGAGCATGGACCAAGATGTGGAAGAAGGAACAATAAATACAGTCCACACAGAAGTCTAGTAGGGAACCCCAAAACCACGCCTTCCCATTCTGGTTGTCCTAGCCCTTTCCATAGCTTCTTTTTGTTTTCTTATTCAATTAACGTCTCCTCCATGGTGCTGTTCAAAGTGGTCAATTGGAAGATTCTTCTATTAGTGTCTAGACAGATGTGGCTATTACCGTTTGAAACTTAAGCTGTTCTTCTGAAGACTTTTTGGCC